AATACATTTCTTCTGTTTTCTTGTTGTACTGTATTATAAAACAGACTGAAATAAAACAATAGATCTATTGGTGGCCTAGGATGTTTAATCTGTCCAAAAAAGTAGGAAAACAATTTCTCAGTCTTGTTTTCTGTTTGTGAAATTTTGTGCTCATTCACTACGTTCATTCATATCGTGTGCATCTCTTGGGGGCTAAGCCCCCCCCCCCGTCCTTAAAACCTAGTGACGCCCCTGGGCTGTGTAATATGTCATTTTTATGCTGCTGTCCCTCATGGCAAGTTTGCCCCACAGTGGTGTTTTGAGGAGATACTTAGAGTTTACTGGAAGGAAAAGAGAAAGAAGTTTACAGAACAGTTTACATTTTGGCAAAAAGTCAAAAGGCACATAAAAGGCTGTGTTTATCAAAGAAGCCATGTACATGTAGACATAACCTAAATCGTCATCAGAGGCTGACACAGCGGTTCTTATTCTCAGACAAGAGTCAGTTTCCATATATGTACTAAAACACCAAGCTGCAAATTAATATTTATTGTGATGAAGTTTTGAAACAGCTTGAATTTTGTGGGTGACAAAAATCCTGTTTGAAACTGAGAAATTAAGAAAACGAGATTTTCTTTAAACATTTGGTTTCAAGCAATTGTGCTTTGAATAAATACTTTTCTTCTCCCTCCCATTTTTCCATTTTCTCAGCTTGAGAAAGAATACAAAAAGAAAAAATTGGAGGTAAGAACGAGAACAGATCAGAAAACAAGATTAACAAAATAATATTAATAACACACATTTTTATCACCATCCTTTAGGAGATGAAGAAAGATTTGAAAGACAAACTGAGTAAACGCTTTCGTGAAGACAAGTTTGAAGTTATTGTGAGTTTTATTAATTCATCAAACTTTTCTTAAAATCCAGATATTTTTTTTGTGTTCATTTTATTTAATAGATGTTTTAAACTTCCACTGTTTACATACTGTTATTTACATGTGAATATAAACACAGGATTCTTTGTAACGTTTCATTTTAGAATGTCACTTTGGACTATGGGATGGAAGACAATGACCCCATCAGTAAAGCATTTTTCTATCGCAAGGATAAGCCTGACAAAGCAATCCCAATATCCAAATCAAAGGTGAGAACTATACCCTTAATTTCTATGAGCTCTGTTCTTTTTTTATGCATCTCCATAAGACAACATTGGCTGTGTTATATGTCAGTTTTATGTTGCTGTCCTTGATGTCAGGTGTCCAAGCTTCTCCCAGAGCACTTTTCTGACGAGATACTTAGGGTTTACTGGAAGAACCATGAAGGACTGCAAGAAAAAGAGAGAAAAAATAAAGAAAAAGAGATCAAAAAATTCTTTAGAACCCAGTGCAAGGACTATGGCTTTGAGGTACTACTTACTTAATTCTATTTAATTGCATTGATTGGTATTACTACAAAATAAGCCTAATGATCACAGTGTAAGCAGGAAAGCTGCAGTTAAAACTGTCTATCTTGTCAGATCCCTGAGTTCAGATTAAACCTCTTAACTCTGATGTCTTGTTATTAATAATAACCTTTATTTATAGACACAGAATGCAGAAGAGGATGGTGACAATGACAGCTAAACTCCAGTACCAGTCGATCTGAACATGTGAAAGATTCAGATATCAAGTTTTTGTGTGACTGTAAGGATTTTAATATTTGAATTTGAATCAGAAAAGTTATGTGGTTTGGGTATTTTCCATTTTTTTAATTTAAATGTTAGCTATATGATTTAGTCTAGATATGAAATGTTATCAAAATATTACATACTGAATGACTTTAATAGATTTTTTTGATTGATAATAAGTGATACTAACTACTTCCTTCAACATGTATCAATATGAAATAAGCTTTTGATAATCTAATATTAATTATTTCACATAATGTTCCAACTACATATTGCATGTTTTCACTAGAATCAAACTAAATAGAACGCCTAGTTTCGATACATGCAATTTTGGGTACTGTTGTGACTTGCTCATTGTGTGAAAATTCATAATTTTTCATGTCATTGCTAAATGAAAATCTGCAGAAGTTCAAATATTTCAGCTGTTTTCCTGTTCCAATATGTTTACTGCTGATTTCTGGTAAATTCAAAATAAAGCTCTTTTTCTCTTATGTTTTGTGTCTCCGTGAAGTTCTTACAACACGACATTTGGCACAATGTCCCTCCCTCCGGTTCTGCCTGAAAAAGGTAACCAGAATGTGCCATGCACAATGGCACCGTGTGAAACTAACTTGAAACTTTAACTGCTTAAGAATAAATTATGAAAACTTACATTTTAAGCTCGTTCATCTTGTCTAATAAAATGAACCTGACACCATCTGTAAAGAATCCATACTAACACAAAGCCAACCAAGAAACTGGAGGAATGATAAAGCTGAGTAGAGCTTAACCCTTGGTAGTACCTAAAAAACGTACCCCTTATGAAGACCTAGAGCCAAAAATCGACCACGCCATAAAAAGTGCTATAAAAAGATTATACATTAATATTTTTTTCCACTTTAAATTAGCCAATATTTTAGACCTACTTCTCCTTGAAATATTCATATAAAGTTTTAATTATATTTCGCGGATTTTAACCCTCTATATCCCGGTTTTGTCACATGAGCGCACGGCCGTTTTTGGCGAAAAAAATGAAAAAATTAAATATTTTCCATAAAATACATTTGAAAGTTATATTTTATTGTACTTTTAATTAGGCCTTTGGATGG